CCGCCCCCCGGCCCGCGTTTATTTTCCCCGCTCGGAGCCGCCACGGCTCTTCACAAACTCCTCCCCGAAGCGATCCCCATGTTTCACTTCAGCCAGCCTTTCTCCTCGCCCAGATTCGGTATGTACTCCCACCAAGTTGCCAACATCATCTGCTTGCGTCTGGGAGTCTTTCCCAACTTGGTATTTACTCCCACCAAGTCCTTCCCAGACCGCAGCTTTCTGTGATCACCGCAGAAATGATTTACCACAACTAGCGATAACTGAGATGCAAAATGAGCTTAAAAAATGACTGATCTTTCACTTCAGCAGCAGGAGGAGGTTGCTCCTGCGGACCCCGCTCGGATAACGCGTTGTCCGGGGCAAGGGCGCGCCATGGCCGTGGGCGGTTTCGCCAGGCTCAGGCAGCAGGATTACAATCAAGCGATGGACGAGCCAAAGCTGAAGCAAACACTCACCTATGCTTCCCTTCCACATCTTCTCTTCCTTCTTCTCCTCCGCTATCTGGTTGCTGGTGAGCGAGGTCTGGCGCGAGTGCGCGCCCGCGGCAGCCGCGATGGACGGGACCGACCGAGCCGGTCGCAAGCTCACACTGTCGCTTTTCCCAGGATCCTTCCGGGACCGCTGCTGAAGGACCTTGATCATGGCATCTTTCTCAATTATTTTCGCATGGAGATTCTTTATTCTGCCAAAATATGAAAGCTCTGCTTACAGAAACAGAAAAATTTGCAGGTTGTGGCTCTCCCCACACTGACGCGGTGAGACTTGTCCCCGGATCTGTCCTGCTGCTCCATCGTCTCCGGGCTGAAGTGACCCAGATAACACAGCTCCTATTATTTCCCTTGAGGGATAACTGTGCACCCTGAAACGGGCAGCATTTCTGGCTCTTGAGCCAGAACAGGGAAAACTTCTGCAAGGTTAAATAAACCTACCTGTTTCAACGGTTTTAATAAATGAGCAGGTGCAGTGAGAACACTAGTGGATCACTAGTATCCCTGAAATACAAAAAGTGAGCAGTGTTCCCCCATAATACTTCAGGGCCAAATCTAGAATTCCTCATTTTGGCAGACTGTCATCAGGAGGGGTTTGCCGAAGTAAATATTACCTGAATTAACTGAGCTACCTTCATGATTTGGGTCTATTGCTGGAATAAAGGTCTACCTGCTGATGAAGCAAACGAAAAAAGTCCCCTTTGGTTTCTGTAACAGTTAGACTGGGCTCTTAGTTTTCTCTAAATGCTGCAGAAAGAATCAGCATTCACCATATAGAGTTAAACAAAGCTCCCTAATTTTCCCTTACAGACCCCCCAAAGACTCTCAAGACACACAATATTGATTATCTGAGAGTTTTCTCTGGGAATGGGAGGAGATTAAAGACCAAATCATACTAAAAAAGACTGAAGCTACGTATTAAAAAATTGTATATGAAATTATACTCACATGACCGTATCTTTACTGGGATGTACACTATACAGTTAAATGCAGTAGTATTTTGTGATGCAGTTGAAACTAAAATGCCACGTCTGGGAAACGTACCCATACAAAGGAGATAGATAGATAGTAACTTAACGTTGGCTTCAGTTTTCCTAATTAGATGTCTAATTTGCAACAAAACACAAGATCCTAATCTATCTTTAATTAACGTAATGGCAAAACTCCATCATTGCATTGGAAGCAGGACAACAAACCCACTAAAAACAATCATTTGTATCTTCCACAAACAACAAATATACCGTGTCATAAAATAATCTGCGTTTTTTTGGTAAGAAAGCCAAAGCTGAAGAACTGATTTTAACTAGGTTTTTTTTTTCTCTCTGCCTATGTCTAAAAAAGTTTATTTTACATTTTCTACTACTTGTAAATGCGTCTTTTTTAGTGGCTTTTGGTGCTAAATTTAGCAAGCTTGTCCTGAAATGCCATTGCAAACTTTGCACGACTCAGATATTAGTCCATCTAGAAAAAGAAATAAATAGGCAGCTACCTAATGAGTAGAGAGTGGTGCAAATGCAAATGCTCACATTGCTGATTATGTAGCAGTGGGATTAAATATCAGCTTTTATGACTAGACACCCTTGTTTCTAGCGGGGGATTTTCACTGGGATTAAACAAGCACTTAGCTTCCTCATATGTCAACCTACTTTTTTGCTAGGAGAACAGCCGTCTGTTTTTAAGAAAGTCGCCTTTGGCATAAAGAAGGTTTAACTGCAATGTAGGGAGGAAGTTATCTAAGGGATAGTGATTATTTCATCACTATGTTTTAACACCGAAGAGCGAAGCTAAGCCCACCCTTTCTGAGCGCGCTCCTAGCACATGAGTGGCAGCGAAACGATGGGCATCACGCCATATCTGAAAGGGCCCCCGGCTACGGCCGTGCGAATGCCATGGCGCGACCTCCCAGTCCGTGTCCCGAGATAGGCAGGCACTTAGCAGAGATGCCATACGTGTACTCCATGTCCTGGCAGCGGCGGTGAGCTTGCACGACCTCCTCTTCCTCCTGCCAGACGCGCGCCTCCAGTGCGCCCTCGCTGTAGCTGCCGCTCCGTGAGTGTGTCGGGGCCAAGGTGTCCCTGGCGAGGGAAGGCAAGACGCCATCAGCCCCGGGCCGCTCCCCTCCCAAAAACATGCCCCACCAGGAACAAGCTCCAGTTTAGCAACACTCTGGGTGTCAAAACAGGGCCTGGCAGCACCACAAAGCTGTCCACAAGGGTGAGGGAGGCTCCTGCAGAGCCTGCAAAAACCCCCCAAACGCACATTCAAAGAACAAACTCTTTACTGTCAACTCAGACAGATCTTTGGTGTGAGGTTGCCTTGCTGCGGTCTACTCTCGGTCCAGGCTTAGTCATTAATTTCCTTAATAACTTGGATGATGGAACAGAGAATACACTAAAAACTGTGGGTGACACCATGGGCAGGTTAAAAAATATACTCGAGGACAGGGCTGGAAATCAAAGGGCACCCAGTGACTGGGGAAATGGTCTTGAATCAACATGAGGGAATTAAAAAACTAGGTACAAAGTATTATACTTAGGAAGGTGAAAACAAACACAGGAATTGCTGTCTAGACTAGAGCACAAAATAAAAGGATCATATCGAACCATACACTCGACCTCATTTAAAAAGGCAAATCTCACTTTAGGATGCTTTCAGGGCTATCCCATGTTCCTCATGGCTGGAAAGCATAGCTGGAATACCTTGTCTGCCTTTGGATACAGACAAATTGGAGACAATCTATACAAAAGCAACAGGAATGGCAAAAGGTTTAGAATATGACATATGAGGAACGGCTGAAGGAAATAAGTAAATTCAGGCCAGGGAAGACACAGCAGGGGATATGTATCTTCCAGTAATTCAAGGGTTGTTGTAACATTGACAACTATCTGTTGTTCATCATGTACACCTGGTGAGGACAAGAACAAATTGGTTCAGCAATTTGGAGCAAGGAGGTTGAGTTTAGATATTAGGAGAACCTTTTCATCTGAAGCTTAATGGAGCACTGAAACAGGGGACCTAGTGAGACCATGAAATTTCCATCATTACACGTTTTTAAAACCAGGTTAAACAAACACATTACAGAAATGGTCTCAGTATATTTTTCTGCCACAGCTAAGGAGGAGGGACTAGATGAGGCTGCTTCAGACTCATATTTCTAATAAATAAGTGCAATTTTGTTTTAATTCTGTTTGTATTTGGAGTTCACATGAGTCATATTTTCGGGTTTCCTCTACAATCAGAAGGCCTAGCAAAGCTGATGAACGCTTCAAACGAGTCACCCCTAATCACTTCACAAAATATACAGTATTTTGAGAGTAACACCAAACATGAGAACCGAAAGACCATCCGAAGAGTTCTCAGTCTCCTCTGTTTTTAAATACTGTTGCAATCTGTCTACTTTTCTGCACAGTTGTGTTTGAAGTCCGTTTTACTTCTTGGCCCTCACGTAACAAAATAACGCTGTTATGTTTGATTTCACAAAGCTCTGGAAGAAAATTTTCCACATACAGTTTATTCGAAGAAAAACATAAGAATAATAAAAGCCCCCAAACAGTAGAAGTGATATCTATACTAGAGTTCTCAAATCACAGTTTAGTTCTGGGTCAGTTTACTTTTGGTTTTGCTTTATTTTATTGTTGTATAAAGCAATATCCACATATGAGAGATTTTAAAAAAAGAAGGTCTCCTTTGAAGTGGTACTTAAAATTCTGGCTCCCAACCATCAGCAGTGACAAAGACTCGCATTACCGGTGGCAAAGAAAGGTTACAGATCTTCCCTCTTGACTTTAGCTGCAGCCAGTGGGACTCGCAGGTGGACTGTGCCTCGGAAAGCCATGCCCACAGCAAAGTTAGAGCATTTCCTGGGAATAGTACAGCTGGGGGCTATATAGCAAGCTGGGTCGAATCCAGATGTATTCTGACAAAAGTTCCTCCTCGTTCCCTTAATGCTGTGGCGAGGAATTACCTTACCTGTGCTAAGTCGTCTGGCGTGTTCAGATTTTGTTTGTTTAGCCCACTGTTGGAGTCTGATGCCTGGGTTTGCTAAACTTTTGGACCTGGGTCAGGAGGGCAAATCCTGCGTTAGCTGAATATTGAATCTCGATGGCATTATGCCACTGAGTGGTGCGTTAACCTTGGTGGAGCTACTCAGCAGGGGGAGGCAAGCAAAATCCAGCCTTAAAAAACTATCCTTTCCTTACTGTTCCCCCCATGCTTATTCCACTGAGACTATAGCTGTCTGCCTGTAATAACAGCATCTTACCTCTCGGTTGCAGCTGTGGTTGCAGCATTCATGGCAAAGTGCCTGATCGTACTCTCCTCCAGATACTTCTGCTCCCACTTGGTCATGTCCGCTTCCAGCGCCAGAATCCTTTCCTCCTTTTCCCGCACTAGCTCCATCAGGGCCGGCGCATTGTGCTCAGGGAGGCTGGCTGTCTGGTAGCTGCCCTGCCTCTGGAGGATGGAAACAGTGACAGACATTCACCCCCTGCCAATTGCGAGAGCTGCTGGCCTTTTTTTTCCATGTCTTCTCCAGCACACACAAAGACATGCCCTGTTGCTGCCCCAGCCCAGGGCTCAAAGCTTAAACAGGGCTCCTTGTCTGGGAGTAAATTTCTGAACCAAGAAGCTGAAAGCTACGACCACAGAGAGGTAAAACGGCTTTCGGTTTGTGGTTCACTGAGGTGCACCTCAGTGGCACCACGACACCTAGACCATCGCTTCAAAAGGAGGTCGATGCTATAAATGGATATGGCAACACTTCTAAGTAAGGAAGGGGTGTGTTGTCAAAAATTTCCAGTACTGGACAGTTCTGCCAGCCTTTACTTGCTAGGTAAGGAAAGGCCCATCTGTCTATCGCAGCGAGGTAAGATCAGTCTATCAATCAGAGAAGGGCTATGCAGTCAACGAGAGGCAGAAGGAAAACCCTGGGCTGGGACCTAGTGTTACCACGTTGAGGGAGGCCAGGCAGCCTACCTTTCTAGAGGACTGCAATAGCCAGCACACGCTCCTTGAGACACATGATACTGACAGAAGTAGAGGGATGGCTGTTCATGAGGACGTGCATGGATTTTGTGGGATACCTCAAGCCAAGATATCCTTCTGGGTGGGACTTTGTCCACTTCCAGCACAGCTGGGCAGTGCTTGCCACGGACATGTAGCTATTAACAAAGGGTTTATATAAGAAAGCAGAAAAAAGCGACATAACCCAGCTACAGCCCAATGACAGCAGCTGCCAAAATACTACTGAGAAGTCTGTAGCAGTAAATGTTTTTTACGATAAAAAGTGCAAGAGATTTGTTACACTCTGTGGGGTACTATACTGTGTTAAAGGGGAAACCATGTCTCAGGAGCACGTGTTTTTCTGCTGTGCTACACCACAAACGTCTGCTGGCAAAGCCCACCGCTGACACAGCATCAGCACGCTGGAGTTAGGGCTATAGCAGCTACTTCCATGCTCTGAAGCACATTTCTAGCTCCTTCTTCTAGATGCTCATCTTCTGATTATAAAAAAATAGAGATACCAACCAAGAAAGGATTTCAGCCTTTGGCTTTGGTACGGTATTGATGCGTTGGGACAAAATTTTCTGGTATACTCTATTATGGAATAGACCTTTGGAGCAACTGCTGTGACTCCACTCCTGCAAAAACATCAGTTGCACTGCAAACACTGTCAAATCCCCGGCAGGAAGATAGCATTTGGAAAGCTGAACTGCCCCAGGCACCCTGGGACGTCATGGGTGCCTGTCTTCTTAATTTTCAATAAAAGCATTTGCCTACCCTGCACATTCAACATGAAATATGTAAGTTAAGAGGAATTTTTTCTTCTTCTTAGCTCACACAGCAGTGACAGTGCAGATGGGCCTTTTGGAGCTTGATTCGCAATTCTGTGCACAGCACACGAGCCACAGGAGAGACTGATTCGTCATCTCCCTGTGTGCTGTGTCTCTACTGCTGGCTGCAGCAAACTGTCAGAAAAAAACTCTTTTTCTCTGCTGTGACATAATATTTCAGCAGATATGACAGATAACTCAGGGAAGACATCTCTGAAGCAAAAAAAGTTGGTGCATTTTAAAGTAATATTTCATCTCAGAGATTTGTTTTACTGGCTCTTCTAAAATCTAAAGACTCCTCTCATAAAACAGAAAGTATAATAACAGTATATAAAATATAATAATAGTAAAAAAAAATACCCAAAACACTCCCCTCTCAAAACAGATAGAGGAGACACGAAGTCAAAGTATTTTTCTTCTTAATTCTTCCTCAGCAGAACTCATACAGGCATTGGGGAACTATGGCAACCTAAAATGCAGTTGCTAATCACAGTTTCAAAAAAATTAAGCAACCTGTAAGTTACAAAGGAATTTTCTGGCAAATAAGCAGACGCACCCTGAACTCCCAAGTCAGGGACTTATGTGACAGTCCATCCCAGTTACTCAATGCATCAGTTTGTCTCTGTATTGCAGCCCAGAGAACAAAACCTTTTTTAGTTCTGTTTTTACCTTCACTTAATTTTAACTGCATTTTTCTTGAATGTTCTTCCATTGACATAAATGTTAGCAGATTATATCCCCACTTGATGGTTTTGTTTTGTTCTGTGTTTTTGAGTAGACAAGAGAAGGCTGCAGGGCAATTGAGAAGAGCTACTGGAAGGAGACAGAAGTAGCCTGTCCTCCAAGCCCGTGGTGGACAGGACAAGAAAGAAGTCCTTGCTTACACTTAAACTGCTGCGAGATAGAGTCAAGTCAGACAGAAAGGCTTTCCAAATAACAGCAGTGACAGTGATGGACAGGAGAAGACAGCCTGAACCTGTGCAATTGCCACACTGACTGGATTAGGCAAACATCTCTCACGAGCAGTGCTGGGATGAGCTGACCTCGCTCTGGGGCTACGGGATGGAAAAGGTGATATCTTCAGGTCTCCTCTACCTCTACGATTTTATAATTCTTTGATAATGCCAGTAGTTATTTCTCAGTTGCATCCCGCTGGCAAGATCAGACCCTCTGCTTTTCGGCAACATAAACTCCGTCTAATAGCTACTTTGTTCACCACTAATGACTCATAAATAGGAAACATTATTGCAGCTGATGCATTTCTTGACAGAGATAGGGGTGAGCCCCCCAAGAGTTACAACAGCATCAGGCTTTGCTTATGTTGTTGGTTTTTCCCCAAGTGTTGTTTTCATATAATAGTGCATTTGTTTGCCCGTCTCTGGAGCCAGCACTCATGTGTTCAGCACTCAGTGCTGGCTATACAGTGGGACCTCTACAACCTCCTCATGCTTTCTGTTCCTTTTCACAGATGACTCGACTTTGGGTCTTGGGGATGGTGGAGAACGTGAGAGACCAGGTTGCCTACCCAAAGTAATAAGTGTGCATAAAATATGAGCACTAAAATATACCTCTGAGGACACAAGACTGCCAAAAAAATCAAGGGGACCTAGACAGAAATGCATATCTACTCTTCTAGCCTATTCTGGACTGGATTCAGATTTACATAATTTATTGTCTGAAAATGACAGCCCCAGTTGTCTCCTGATCTATTATGGACAAAGGTTTCTGTGATGCAAGTACAACATCGTCTTTGTCCAGAATGAATACTGCCCGAGTTCTTGCTTCCACCTCATCAGATTTCATCAGACCTTGCCTTTTCAGTAAAACACCAGCCAAAAACTATGGGCTAAATCTCATGCCCACTGGTACTACACCTTTACTTTCCTCCTTCCATACTGAGCTGATGCTACACAATATGTAATTTCTGGAGACAAAGGGGGAAGAATATTGTCTGTCCTCCAGTGATGGAGTGGTGGCAAGGCTCTCCTTGGCCTTTGGGAGTGGAGCCACGACCACTGCCCTGACCCCAGCATCAGGGAAGAGTCAGGCTGCATCCAGCAACGGCACTGTGCCAGTAATGAATAATCCTCGCAAGCTACCATTTAAAGTCAGTAATTAAAAAGGCTTTGCTGAGGAAAGGATTACTTGAAAATCCCAGCAACCTGAACTCTAAAGCGAAGTGACCCCTGATACAGCTGAAAACAACTGTCCTGATTTAGAAACAGACCCTAGGTTGGACCCGGTGGCTGGGCGCGCCAGGGAGCCCGCAGCCCGGCCCTCACCTGCTGCATCCTCAGCGAATCCAGCTCCCGCTCAAGCCGCGTGCGCAGCCGGCGCTCCATCTGCTCCCTCTTCTCACAGGCTGCCTGCAGCTGCGTCAGGGCCTGCTGCAGCTTCTCCACCTTCTCCACGTAGGCCTGCTTCTTGCGGAGCTGCAGATGGCACAAGGGGTCAGCAAGGGAGCAACACAACCTGGACGAATGGGACATGAACCCCCAGCCCCAGAGCACCCAGGACAAAGAGGAACCCATGTGCTGCTTCCATGCACAGTCAGGTGTGAGCACGGCTTTCACCTCTCATTAAGCCAAAATTTCACTGGGGAGGGACAAGTACAAGAGATCACCTGGATGCAGCAGGGAAAGGGCATGGCAGGAACCAGCTGTGGCAGCTCTGCCACGTTTAGAGAAAAAGCAGGCAGAGATCTTTAACACCCCAGGGGTTAACTATCCAAAGAACTGCCTGGCACTTTCTTAACAAGAGCTGTCATGGTGGTGAACGCATTTTTAGCAAACACAAGTGACTGACCTCAGCAAAGAAGCATCCTGGTGGGCATTATCGACCTGCAGTACATGGCATGTTGTTAGGAGCCAAATGGAGTTTCTTTTTTTAAACTCTGCATATCTACTCAACACAGTGTCTCCTGATGGAGAAAGGAGAGCCCCAGGAGAAAGAAGATACCTGCTGGGGATGAACAGGGCAGTGCTAGGTGTGTTCTTCCCTGCTCACAGGCCCAGTCATGCAGATATATAGATCCACTGTCAGCTAAAGCCATGCCCTCTTTATGCATATACTGGGATTATTTAAGGGCCAAACATTACACAATAATTTTGCAATATGGCATTTTATGGCCAAAGATTGCTCAAGTAGCATACCCTAAAAGGACTTTGCAAGTGGACTGTAGGCATTCAGGGTGCTTGGCTGCTATTATCTGGCATTTATTCTTCTGGCCTCCTACCACGCTAACTGAGTGCTAATTGACAAACAGCAAGGTAAAGTGACATGGGCTCCTGACAGGAGCTGACATGCTTTAGGGCCTCCGGGGAGAAGAAGGTGCTGATGCTGGACACGCTCAGAGTCACATGTGCTGGGCACTGAGAGGGGTATCAAAGTCTGCTCTGAGAACTGGCCCCAGGCCAAAAACTACCATGAAGAAGGGGCTTGCTCCTGGGAGGCAACCTGCAGCACCTGGCACCTCACAGGACCGGCCCCAGGGCCAGCTGCACAGCCAGGACTGAACCAGGCACTGTCACCTTTCCCCGGAAGCAGTCCTCTTTCTCAGGAAGCAAGGACATGAACTCAAAAACTCACAGGCTGGACTGCGGCAGCACGATCTGTCAGTTTGCCCCATGGGCTGCAATCTGGCCCCAGGGAAGACTAGGTTTACTTCTTCTCCCCTAGCCTTTTACAGTTATTTTTCTCTTCACACACGTAAACACTTCTAACTTTTTAAAGATATCTGCCCTGTAGTAGAGAAAGTATCAGTGCACAGAAACCAAAGCTGTAACCCCAAGGGGACAAACTGTCTCCTGACTTAAACCTCTACCTCAGAAAGGGAGGGTTAATCAGTTTGAATGCGGGACGATAACGTTTTGCCAAGCTCCGTTCAGACCTCCATCTGAGGCCCAGAGGTTAATAGAGGTGTCCAGTGTCACTACTGTGGTCACTAAGATGCTTCCGTTCTAGGGCTTCTACTCTCCTGTTCCTCATTTACTTGTGCACTTGTTTAAGACCTGGACAACTTTGGAAGCAAAACAGGAGACAGAGAAACACATTAACGCCAGTCAATATTAGCGAACTAGTTGATAAATAAAAGAGGCCTGCATATGTATTATGAGTTGGCTAAGTCAGAGCCAAAAAGATATTCTGGTGCCTACCCCTTATTTAAGTACTTAAATCGCTTTGAAAATAACAGCAATGTACGTTCTAACATAGGAGGCCCCTACATATCTTTGTGGACCTAGGAGAGGTACTGCAAAATTTGCAGCCTCATTCCTGGGCATGTAGAGCAAATAAACCCTGGCTCTGCTTCCTCACTAGCTGCAGTGGGACAACGCAGGCAGTCTCCTCTTCACCGGAGTCCTGTGCTTAGCCTGGGACTCTGGCGTTGCAAAGCAGAAGTTTTCCTTGTATGATGCCAGGTTCACCTAGGTACCTACCCACCCCTTGCAACTATAATAAAATCGCTTTCCTTTAAATTCTTCTTCTGCCATTCTAAATCCATCCATGTCACAGGAGAAGTGAAATACAGGCTTGTTTACAGCACACAGCGAAACAAAGTTTGCCCTAAACACACCTCCACAGCCAGGGCCAATGGACTGCAGCATAACCTCCTTAACCTGCTGCAATCAGAGACATCCTTGCGACTCCTGGGGACCTCAACAAAAATTAATGAGATTATAATCCACACCAGTCTGCAGCAGGAGCAAGAAGATCACATTCCTCAGGCGCTCCGCGGGACAGACACATCCACGGCTTCCTAATGACCATGTTGTTTTGCAAGAAGGAGGCTGCCATGCGGATCCTGGCTCAGTGAGCTGAGCTGGGCTCCTAGGCTCACTCCTCAGCAGCAGACCTTGTTTGCTCCCACAGGGTCCTGCGGGAGAGGCCATGCATACCATGCAAGCCAAAATTCAGCTTTGCTATAGCAATTTAAACCCCTGGCCTTACATACTTATGCATGAGTGTACCTCGACTTGTGGGAGTTGAAGCAATGTGTATACATTCCCTGACTTAGTAAACAACTTTGTTCAAAATACACAAAAGTACAGTTCCCACATTCATTAATTTACAGGGAGGTTCTTGGGTCAGAGCTGGCATTTTTATCCTGCCTGTAGATTCATAAGTAAAAAATTCACCCACATATATTTAAAAATCAAAGCACAAAATGTTATAATCGAAATTAATGGGCTTGTCAGTTGAGCAACCATATGTGAGGACGCAAGACTGGAATCAAAAATATCTCACAGATACATAGACTGAAAGAAAACATAGCTGGAAGACATCAGTCCATCTTCCTGCTGCAAGGTGCAACTGACCTACCTAATACTTGGTAGACGTCTGTATTAATCTGTTCGTAAAACCCTTTGGTGTAGGGATTCCACAACCTCACCCAGCAAACTACTCCACTGCTTATTTTCCTTTACTGCCAAAAATTTTTACCCTAATGCCTAATCCAGTGGTCTCTTATGCAATTTCAGCAAATTACTTCTCATTCTGTTTCCTGATTATGATCTGCTAGAGCAAGAAACATTTAATGAAACAATTCACATATTCACAGGATCAGCAAACTCATTCGAACGCTGCCCTCGTCCCAGTGATTAGGAAAATAAAGATGAAGAAGAGCTAAGGCCATCAGAGGCCAGTCCAATCCTGACTTTGATCAAGTAAATAAGTCTGTGTAGAGACCAGTGGGTCTCATGGGAAAAAATCTGCACTGAGTACATACCTCCTGTTTGAGTCATAGCATATCTATTAAAAAAATCTATGGAATTGTGTTAAAGATTGTAAGAGATGGAGAATCCGCTATAACCATAAGTAGGTTGTTCCAGTGTTAGTTATTCTTACTCTTTATTTCTGGTTTGATTTGCTTAGCTTCAGCTCCCAAATACTGCATCTCATTATTTCTTCTTATGTTAAATTAAAGAGCAATCTTTAACCTGACCGATAGCAATTCCTGCTTCATATATGTGCATATGGACTGCAGCTCAGGCATCCCCTACCTTTAATTGTTCACAGCAAAGAATATCTTCCAGAACTGAAATAAATTCTACAACTGCTTTCTGAACCCTCTCCAATTATTCAGCTTTCTATCTGAAGCGTGAGCTAGACACACTATTCCAGCAGCAGTCTCCTAAATGACACGTGGTGATAATACCACCTACGTATTTTTGAATTGTATCCTTCTACTAGCAGGCACTCAAGATAATGTAGATTTATACAGTGTGTTATTTTATGTTAATTCAACTTTATAGCTATAGCTTATTTCTCAAGTCTTGCTTTAGGAAGAATTTAATTACATTCTGGTGGTAGAAGAAATCCATGGGGGTTTATAAAGCTGTGCATGACGTAGAACTCTGTTAATAATAATACAAATTTTCATTTGAGTGCTTCTTTTCTTTTTGCTTCAATATATTCCAATTATAGTAAGAATCCCTGATTTAAGATGACAGTTCAAAACTCCGGTAATGTGTCAAACTGAGCTGCAAAAACTACAGGCCCATTGTACACTGCTGAAAAGTGCTCCGATTTAATAACAAGAAACAGACCAAAGGAAAAGGGAGCACCAGAGCTTGGATACACGCAGGCAGCCATGGCTTAACCACTACCCGTGCATCCCCAGAGCTGCAGGAGCCTTCCTTAAACTCTTAAACTGCAACAGTCGGGAGGAAATTCAACTCCCTCTAGAATGAAAAACAGTTAAACACTATCAGGTTAATATGGGTTTGCTCAGTTGCATCGCCTTCACACGCTGTCATGCATGCCCTGAGCATCTAACCAGCCATGGGCAGGAGGCTACCACCTCTGTAACACCTAAAATGCCCTAGACAGGTTACCAGCTCTCTAGCAGAGATGGTGGAGGGGAACATTTGCTTATTCCTCAGCTCCTCCAGTTCACAGTCTGGGATCCCAGCTCCAACCCCTGGCAAAGGCGCTTTTATGTTAGTTTACTAGACAACGAACTGGAAACGTGAGAGCTCTTTGCCAAGTGAATGTGAGATAGAGCCCCAAGGCTGCAAACATATTTAACATAGTCCAGCAAGCACGGGATAGCTTCTTACACCACCTGCCTGGAAATCTGCATTTACGCTTCTGCCACCTTCACCAGTGTGTAATGAGCAAGCTGATGTTACCTGCCAAAATCACACTGAAAGTCTGTGGAGCAGCCAGGAGCTAAAATTACTACTTTCAATCCCCCGCGTGATGTTGTGACTGTAGGAGCAGGTTTTGCCACTTAAAACATTCCTTTATTCAGCCACCTTGTAATGAAATGCAAATAGAAAACCTCTGGTTGCCTTCAAGGCAAACAGTATCAAGTCAATAATATACAGATTAAAAGTACGTTAGCTCCTGTGGCTACTCCTAAGGGACTGCCCTAAATACACTTGGATGGTAAGCAGACTTCAGTTTAACTAACAAAGGAGCAGTTAAACTTAATGTGATCCTCTTCTTGCTGCTGAATGTATGTACACCACAGGGTAAGGAGTTTTTAAGGAAGTATTTCTAAACATGAAGTCAAAATTGTCTAATAGGAAGGAATAAAATAGCAATCACTTTCAGCCCTTTCACACAGTACCTTAAATCTTCCAGACTTTGGGTAACCATTAAGTACTGGGGTCTGTCATGCTAGACACCCTGATAAAAAACATTCAAACATCACCGAGGTCACTTCACTCTTCATCTTTCCAAGACAAGACAAAGAGAGAAAATGAACTCTACTTAGTTACTTGCAGGTACTTCAGAAAAGACCTTCCCAGGCTACTCCTAGAGCCACGACATCAAAAGACCTCTGCTCTCACCTGGCTCTTGCAGACTGATCCCCAGGACAGCCCTGGGGAGAGGGCAGGAGGCAAATGAGGCACCAAAGGGGACAGACTTGCCCAAGATCATGCTGGCAGTGTGTGCCACAGCACCTCTACCCAAGCCCCCTTTCTATTTGTCAGAGGGCCAGAGACTTTAGGATCAAAAAGGCCTATTATGGCAGTCTTGACTGACCTATCATGGCACATAGATTTTCAGATAGTCGTTTCTGCATTAAACCTACACTTTCTGCCTGAAGGTCCTTGAGATTTAGAGACCTCCAATAATGGAGAATCAGCAACATCACTCAGTAGGCTGCAGTTATACTTACAGCTAAAACTGAGCATTATTTCCATTCTGAAGTTGTCCAGCTTCACCCTCCAGCTACTAGATGCTGTTGGCCATTTGTTTGTTAGTTTGATGAGCCCTCTGTGCCTGGGACTTCTTTCCCCACCTGAACGTTTATTTTCTTTGATCAGACTCATAGCATCATTGTCTAAAGAGCTCTTAGGGGTTTTGCAGAGACGGCACTTCTTGGGTCTCATAGTAAGATAGTTTTTTTCAACTCTCAAATAAATATTGTAGTTCTTTGTAGCTCTAAATCCTGGAACTTTTATTTCCAGCCAGATCAGCCAGTTCTTTTAAGACCCCTGTTTAGATGCAGTCACCAAGCCCTGCACTGCTGTGTTGCTATGCACATCTCAAAAGCCTCCCGGCATTCGCTGAGGAGAAATGAGAGGTACCAACATCACATGTTTTTATTGGAGTACCTGTCCAGAGTCAGTGAGTAGTCAGCTCTTTCTGTGATAGTACCGTTAAGTCTTACAACTACATCAGCCATCAGCTAGTAGAGTTTGGTCATCTTCCTGGTTACATGTTAAAGGTTCTGCTCTGAAAGCACCTATGCTTGTGGTCGCTTTTGCTTGCTTGTTTGGCTCAGTACTGAATAACTTACGTGTTTTATGTCTGGGAGGGCTTCTGCAAGGGGAGCAGGAGAGAACTGCTACACCATGGCTGGAAGAGATTCAAGACTTGGATGGAGAGAGCCATCACTTGCCTTAGAGAAGAGGAATGATACCCATGTCTCACCTCCTCTTCCAGTTTGATGACCTTGGCTTGAGCGTTGTTTAGGGCCTGGTCCAGGATTTCGATGTGCCTCCGCTGATCCTCGTTAGCAGAGCGCATGGCAGCCAACTCCATCTCTAACTTCTCCTTCTCCTTCAAATGCTCTTTGTCTGGAATAAAGACAAGAACAAGAGCTGCTCTTTGAGAATAGCTCATAGCCTCTGCGCCACATGCCAGAGGTAAGCTGGCACCTCCCTAGAATAGCACAAACTGTGCAAAACAGTGGCAAACGCAGCCACTTACAACACAGCACTTGGGATCTAATAGTGCTCAGATTCAAGGTACTCAGTTTCAAGTGCTCAGTTTCTATTGCCAGAGCTTGCTGTCTCATTGCCCAACTTTACGTGAGGGCCAGTGGCAGAGGCAAGTGGTAGCTCACGTGGTATCTGTAGTGTCAGAGTGTGTGGATCCAAGCAGGGTCTTACAACCGTCTCTACTGTTGAACTTCTAGCACATTCCTCAGCAAAATTTTGGCTTATGCCAGCCACCCCTTTCCCAGAAAATGTGCAGGCCCTGCCTGAGGACAGCATGCATCAAGGATTGCTTATAGTCGTCAATTTGGATGTTGCTATTCTGTTTTAACGGACAAGAAACCTTGGTCATGTGGAGGCAGACAATACCATGACCAGTTCATTTTATTTACAAGGATAAGGGTATCTCCGGAGATCATGGGGTACAGAACATGAGAAAAAGAGTCAAATATTAAACACAAATCTGTGCTGCATAGCTTGAACGTTGAAGAAAGGGAAAGCAATAAGGAAAAAATAAGATAGTGGAAATGATGAGCCTGGTGTGCTGGGGGCTGGATAAAACCTTGAGTTATGCAGAATGTGAGAGGAAAAGACATCCAGGTCTTCCATGTGGGAGAACCTGCCCAGGGCAGGGAAACGGTGTGCCACTGTATCGCCAAGAAACAGCTGCATCTGACCGCCAAGAGGTAAAAAGGCTTCTTGCAAATTTTTGAGGAACACATTGACTTCTGAGTGCTTTGTGCGGGAGCTAATGAAAGTGCCTTGCAGAGGAGCCCATCAGATCCTTTCCATGTGGCCTCCCTGAGCTCTGTATCTCTATTCAGTTACTTGAGGGGACAGTCATCCTCCACAAATGGGCTTCCTCTGGCCATACAGCCTCAGGGGGCCATGGGAGGCACTTGCAGAGCTCTGTTAGGACAAGGAACATACTCTGTAACCCTGCCGGGAACCTGGTCAACGTTCCAGTCCAACAAGATCTCAAGGTCCTTCCAGCAACTCAATGACCTGCGCTCCTCTCCTATTAAGCAACTTAATATGCCAAGAGCAAGTGATCTCCTCCTTCATGACAGTCATACCTAAGGCTGCCAATGCAATCAGCCACAACAGCCCATGTCACGCAGCGTCCACAGAACAGCATCCCGCCTCAGACCTTGGTGCAACCCTCTACCTTGCTAGTTCCAGTTTCACCATTGCAGCTGACTAAAATATACAGATACCTTCTGCGCTGGAAAACCTTCCCTTTTGGGGTAAGATGTAAAACTGTGTTAAAACCTGGCTAATTTCAGTCGGCTTTGCTCACACATTTTCCATCAGCAACAAATCACAGGCCCATCATTAACCTTGCTGGCAAGCTGCCTGTTGAAAGGGTCAGCCCCATCTACATCTCCCTTGACAGTGCTGAGAAATCATTTCAGGGAATACAAGCATCACTGGCAGATCACTGGGTCCCCGCCACCTGACTGCAAACAGTTAAAGATTAGAAGGACAGGAGATGGAGGCTTCGTTCAGTGAAATCTGAGATCTCAAAATCTGGCCTTCATTCTGAATCATAACAAAAATAGAGCATTTGGAAAGCCTCCAGGAAGGAAAAATTTCTCCAAAAATTAATTTGGTGCCAATTAAACATTGTTTTGATTTTGACTTTTTAAATATAGCAATACAGAATATATTATTTTTTAACTGAAGTAAAAAGCTGCTCCAAAAACATCAAAATGTGGAAAATCTGCCCCAGACATCCAGACTGTCCCACCTGAGTGCGAATACTCAAGCTAGAAGCCCCAGCATCCCATTTCTCTCTGAAGTCACCGAGGAGGGACAGGAAAATTCACAGGGCCAGCGCTAGCCCATTCAGACCTGAGCTGCCCTCTAAAAAAGACCTTATTCTTTCTTAACTACAGGTGGGATGAGAACAGTGTTAATTTACACACTACTGGTAGGTGTCTACGTGAAGTGAGATGAATACAAGATGAGCCATGTGGAACAAGAAATATGTGGTCAAAGCGAAGCCAAATCCACCCATAGTTCCATTTTATCCTAAAAGAAGGAACTCAGCACCACTCAAAAAATAGATCCTAGCAAAAATGCCTGTATACTGGCCTCTGCAAAGTCTGCGAGCAAAACACACCACTTCCTATGCTTTCCACGCCATTAACTGGCACTATGAGACATCTCAATATGACATAGCCTTAATTTTCCCACACCAGCAAGGAATTTTAAATTGGATATGTAAGCTCCTTCCTTCAAAGTAAATACATTTACTTCAATCAGATTCACCAGAAGAAGTGTTAGTATATATTGCAGAAAAGTGTAAATCCAGACAAATTATCAAGCAGCTAATTTCATTAGCGGGCGAGGGAGAGGAAAGATGAATGCTATTTCAGTCTTCTGGCATTAAATTGTCATGTGCTGGGACCACCCTTGCTGCACTCTGGATTTGAAACTTACGTTACATGAGGACAGTGGACTTAGGACCTTCAGAACTCGAAGCACTCCGCTTGCCCTGCTGTGCTAAGTTTTATATTCCCCCTTATAAAGAAGGGCAAGGTTATGCTGTTCACAGAATGACTGCTGAATGCACTGGAAAGCTAGCAAGGATAATTTACTTAACAGTGCACAACATTTCTCCACATCAGCTTTTCACTGAAAAACGCTGGAGGTACGTTTTATAAGCACCTTCTGGTATTGCATTAATCTTTAGTAAAGAAGGACTTTGTTGAATATACCTTAAATTCTCTTCGAGTACGTACAGGTATTCCTAAAGTCCAAAAATAATGCTTTACTGTGCTACACCACGCATATCCTTTATGAAGGAAGTTACGTCTACCTGTGCATGTGTTTATTACCTAGTAGTCTCCATCTAACAAATATTTCTGTTGTTCTCACGGGTCAATTGCCACATCCCATCAAGGAATTGTTCCCAAAAGGCTTTTCTTCTGTGGCTTCCAGTTGTAACCCTACAGCCTCCCAGCCACTGCCTCTGATTGTTGTACTTTAATGCACTGAGAACATTACACCTATATTCTGTGTCTGTGGGTAAAATAATGAGGAGATAAAGCAAAGAGTCTGCTAAGGCACTTCCCAACCAAGCATTCTGAGCTGTCAAGCTGAGTAGTTCCACCAAAAATAGACCAGGCTCGATCCTGCTTTGAAGCAGAAATATTAGACGGAAAGATGCATTCAATCTATGCCATTCCTTCCCTGCCATCAGATATGACCCCAGTTTTTCACATGGATCACACACTTAAAGAAAGCTTTTAATCAGATCAGTCTTGAAAGAAAAATGAGAAACATGTTTTCAGTAGTGTACCATTTCCCTATATTAGTTGAATGTATGTTCTCAAAGCCACCTATAACTACATTGTATCTAAGTATCAACTCATTTGACTAATTTATAGACCATATCAATGCATCCTAAATTTTCTCCTTATTGTGATATCACAGAGTGGTAACACTGACCTCCTTTAAAGACAGTCCTGATTCCTACAGAACGATCACTGCTAGCAGAATGAAATTACATCAAACGGCGGCAGCGAGAGCAGAATTTGGCTCCAGGAAGTTCTGCTGAAACAAGAATCACTTTCATACTACGTTCCTTGAGGGGTTTCCAACTATTTCTCTTATGCAGGTTTGTATTTCTAGATTATTGCTCCTTACTTACAGCTGCTAATTCCAAAGAGGCTCTCCAGTGACCTTGCCTTTCTTAAGCAAAAACTGTGGGACGTATTTAGCCTCTCGTCAGCCTTGTAACTCCTGACACGGCAATTGTGCTGATGAGCTCTGCTGTCAGCCATGTACAGACATGGGCGTATGCTGCTGCAGCTGTTGCTGGCCTCCTGTCGGGCCGGCTAATTCACCAGCATGCGTGCTGGGTAACAAGAGCCACCTTTTCTGCTCATTCAGCTTGAGCCGTGACTTGGCCAACTCAAGGGGCATGACCTTTAAATGGTGTCGGGGTGACAAGCTACAGGGCTGAAGGGCGAGATGCAGCCTGTGACACTACCCTGAATGTCAGAGACTGACAGACAAATACAGAAGGATGGGCAAAACCTGAAATGCAACACAGTCTTTTTGCCGGCTCCAAAGATCTTTCAAATGCCATTTTCCACCTCATGAAACATCTGAATAAATAGATCTCATTCATTCAACTCCACCTCCTAGAACGAGGTTTTTAATAGATTCTTCACACCTTAAACAGGGCCAAGTTGCCAGGTCCAAAGCGGGGAGCTTCCCTCCAGAGAGCCGGAGCACGGTTAGCAGGAAAGCGAACACCCCTCCGGCCGAAGCCCAGTTGCGCTTCCCCCTCTGACACTGCAGAGCTGGAGGACGACTAGGTTAGGCTAAGGCAGGCCTGAAGGAGCAAAGCAGAACTGGGTAATCAAGCATTTCTTTTTGTCTTCATTGTCAAAAAAAAAAAAAAAAAGAAGAAGAAGATACAAACGGGCGCCTAAAGTTTAGCAGACAAAGTCCATGAAAGGAGGCTCCCTTGAGTGGATGGGCTAAACAAAGAAACCCATTCAGAAAAGAGATCCTTTTGGAAAAGCAGTAGTAAAATCTCAGTGGGTCAGAGCACTGCTCCTTTTTAGCTCAAAACCTGCTTCCAAGATGGGAAGATTAAGCTTCTATTCACATTCATTCCTGGACACCTCTGCCAAGAGTAATTCCCAGAGTAGCTCGCTCAGTCCGGGTTGTTGCATACCCATAAGGAATGCAGCTGCACGTGTACAGCCGCGGCTTCCGCTTTTCAGAAAATCAGATACTACAGGTCTCTCAGCACAATTCACAAGGAGCAGCTGCATTAACCCCTGCGTCCTGGCCAAACGCCAGCAGAGCTCATTACAGTTTACCACCCTACGTTCCTCCGGCAGTTTCAGTTACAAATGGCATGTTCCTGACAAAGCTCTTCAGAGTTCTTGCCATCAAGACTGAGGAAAGGCTGAGAAACTTAAGGACTTCATGCTCTGCAAAGATGAGGTCCCTGTTTCAGTTTTTCTCAGATGGTGATTAACAAGAATTTCTTGCTGGAACTAACAATTATGATGAATTTTACTGTACTTAAATATTAGAAGACAGCGCCTGCAAAGGAGATGGACACCTACATATTTCTCAACAGGTATTAGCTCCAACAACAGCATATTTAATCCCAGACCTCTTAGGCAGCTGCTTAGCTTTGTACCTGTGCAATACTTTTAGAATTATCAACTGCAAAAAATGAGAACTGAATCCAAATTAGGATCACAGTAGTTAACCAGACTTGTGAGTACCTCCTGAGGAAAGCTAGTCAGAGCAAGAGTTACTACTGCTTTGACAACAATTGCTATGGTCAAATTTTGCACTGGCCATACCACAGCAAATCCAGTGATCACAAATGAGCAGAATCTGGCTGGCAATTATTTTCTGAACAAGTGAAAGGGTAATCTCCTGGCTACTGACCTAAAAAGGGATTCAGAAAGGTCTGACGATCTCTCTTCCTTCGTCACTGAGGAAGCCACCAAATCTCCTCTGGAGTGTAATAGGTTTCCTTACCCTATGGAAGTACTGTGGGGAGCTTAAACGTGTTCTGTTCGGATTTGCAGCGTAGGCACTTCCATCTGCATTTCACAAAGTACAAGTCGGGGGAGATTTGACCTTCATATGCTGAAAACTGAAAATGAATTTCCCACTCCTGCCCCTTTTCAAGGGCTGGGATAAGTCATGCAGAACAAACATATTTTTCTATATAGCACTGTTTCTTCGGCTCCCTGTTTCATTCCTTACACACACCCTCAGCTCCGGAAGCAAGGAGGGGGGGGACACACTTCTCCCCAAACCTGCCTTCTCTGTGTGCGTAACTCACTTCTAGGAAGTGAGAGATCAAGGATCCCTGAAACTTATGCCTCTGATTATTTTCTGTCTTAAATATCACGTCTCTTAGCCTGCCCAAAACACCACTCTCAAAAACATCTATTGTGAGCATTTTCGTTGGCCATATTCCTAAGATGGGATCTCTCTTTGCCTGAGATTTGGGGGATGGAGATATATAGAAACACACGATACAGCATACCTACTGCACAGCTGACATTCCCAAGGAGCACGAGGCTCTACCCTTGCACTGCAAGGATGTCTGTGCATCCCCAGAAAAGGGCGCAGACCGTGTCCAACACCCGGCATGCAAACGTTGCAGTAATCTGGATGATTGGAGTCATAGACTCCAACCCGCCCATGACTGCTGAAAAAAAAGCAGCCTGGCTGAACCCCTGCTCTGACAGAGTGGTAGCATGTCCAAAAATCCCAGAAAAATACACAAAATTATCAGACTCCACTGAACAATGTTTTCCTGTGATACTCTCCATCGTAAATTTTCTCTCTGTCCTATACCCTTGAAATCATCCTCAGTCTTCTTCCCTCTCCCTAATCACAGCATCTCTCAGTTTTCTTCATCTAGCTCTTCTCTTTCCTGTATGGGCCTATATGCGTTAATCAGTTGCTCTTTCCTTAAAAGAACCTTTTTCACTGACAAATCATCATATAATTATCATGAAACTAACAGCATGTGAGTTCTCTACTGCACTCAATACAATAGTAGCATTTTGCATTACATCCAAATGCTTAGCACTTAATACTTTGAGGCATGCAGCCTAGCTTTGCCTATTATTATTACAAAGAATAAGAGTTTTTGTCACCTCTTGTCTCCATCTCAGAGGACACGACTTCTCTGTACTGCTACGCTGCTAATGGGTGATCCTTCAGAAAGGAGAGCACTTGAAGGAACTGAGAAATAAGCCCTGCATATGCTGCCTTGTAAGGCTTCTTTCAGTGAGTTTTTCTTGTTACTGGAGTTTTACTGCAGTATTAATTCCATGTATGCAGTTCTACCAATGGCAAGTGTTAAAAAAACCCAGGAATTTTATCCTTCTTCATCATATAATCACGAGACTGGCTTAGAAATGATAACAGGTAGGAAGCTGCTAATGCTGGATCCTTTTTATGCAACTTTGGGCTTTTGAACGTTAAGGGTCACGTTTTCAGGCTATTTTTCATAAACCTAGGGACTAAAAATTTGCTTTATGTTTTCCAAATGAAAGCTGTAAGAGCTGCATTTACTAATATGACTTAAAAAGCTACTGCCTTTTAGGAAAAAAAAAACCCCGTGAGTTCCATGATAAAATTGCAAAAGCTGATGGGAGTGCACGTGGGCACTGCAAGCCCATCTTTTCTCCTTTTCTAACCAATATTTCAGTGTCACTAGACAAGTACACACAGGGACAGACCAAACAAGCTGCACTGAGTGCAGTGAGGCAGGAGCTGAGCCCTGCTCTTCTTTCACTTTTCTGGCTGAGCGTCCTACCAAAGGATGTAAGGGAGGGTACAGGATGTGCTTGCAAAACCCCCAGGTTGGCAGTGGGGTGCAACCCATGTCGCACTCTGCCTCTTGGAAAAACCTCACAAACATCAGCATATAATTGCGGTCAGTGAGATGGTTCCTGGACTGCCAGAGGATTTCCAAGTGAAACCCTTTACGAACCTTCAGAGGCGCGTGTTTGACTGATACTCTAGTATCAAGCTAATTATTCTATGTGGCAGAGCAGCCCAAGGAACATGAGGCCTAAAGAGGGCCTATTTTATATGAGCCCAATTTTTCTATTCTTAGAAGCACTTTACAACACATTGGTAACATTTAGCTCTCTGGCCTAGACAGGGAGACACTCCAAGCATCCAGCCCCTCTTATGTGATAGGATCCTAAAAGCTATATTTGTTCATAAGCTGCAAATTGATAGCAGTAATATGCTGAAGCACAGCATAAAGGTTTATTGCTAGATATTTATCATTTGCTAGATATTTATCATCAGACGCACAGAGCATGGTTTTACTCTGGCAACTGACTCCACTTCCATCCCTCCTGGGGGTTTTACCCACCCACCCCTGGCAGCTACCAGCATATGGGAAATCAGCCAGTCTGTTTGTGTGTGAAGACAGGAGCCCCCAGCCTGTAATTTGCAGTGGCATGATTTACTCTGAATGCTTCCCAAAGACAACAAGGCTTACATAGCTACAGCACTTTCTTAATGGGATTCTACACGCCTCCACACTCTCTGTTAATATGGTAAAGCTAGCACAGTCATGGGAAAGATACCTAACGTCTCTTCTGGTTTGTGCACGTATACAGCAAGATATCAGCTGTGTTGCCATGCTGGCATCACTGCTGCAGGTGGGAGCTAGGAAGAGGCTCTCCAGCCTTTGGAGCGGAAGGTGGGCTTTGCCGGTCTGGTGGCAGGCATGTGGAGCGCTGCTATGCGCTGCATCGTTCATGGAGGCAGCTGGCTCTCCAGCTAAGCATTTGCAGTTGCAACTCAGCTTCCACAAAAGCCCAAGTGCAGCAAATAAAGCTGGTGGATCAGTTGTACACAGGATATTTGCTTCAACGGCCTTTAAACCTGCAAGGCGCTGCACAACCCGTAGGTGGTCAAGCCTTCGTGGTGCATCCTTGTGAGCTGCAGATGCTCAAGGTATTTAAGCGGTTACATGGGGTGACACGGCATCAAAGTGCTTGGGCTTTGGTTTGTCTGGTTGTGTGGAGCATTCCCATATTATGAAAATATTACAGCACTGTGCTCCATCATTCTGGAAGCCTAAAACTTGAAGGGAATGGATACTTTTCACAGTAGCAGAAATTGGAGAATTTTTGTCTCTTCAGTCCTCAGTCAAAAGGAGGGGTCCAACTCTGTTCTTCTTCCTATTAGTCAACCCACGGCACTGACAATAAAGTCAACAGAGGTTGCTTTGGATTTTTCCCAGCCAAGAGAAGAATTTGGCTTCTCTAAAAAGCATGCATCTCGAGAGATGATCCCTGCAAGCAACACTTCACAATTCCAGATAAATATTTATCCAAAATAAGCTAAGCTATGTTACCATTAGCTCCCACTGCCTGGTTCTGGTGCTCAGAGAAAAACAGTCTAAAAAATCCAGTCTGTAGCTTAAGTAACAGTATATGATGAATTAGCTGAGTAAAATCAAAACATAAGGAAAATAAAAATAAAAGCAAAATATTCACCTCCACTCCAGTACATATATATATATACATATATATACATATATATATATAATGTCTTCACAACAGATTAATGCAGTACTTACTCTGAGTGACATAAAGGCCCTCTGTTGACTTATCTTCGTGCCCATCAAACTCCCTGCTGGCTAGCTGCCTATTGGCAGTCTCCAGTCGTTCTGCACAAAACAGGAAATACTTTAAGTATAAATATATGTATATAAAATTGTAGGCCAACCAAGAAAATAAGATGCATGCCAGTAGCGCAGTATAAATAGACCCTCTGAAGGGGGACATTAAAATGGAGGCTGACACATGCATAAAAGATGAGGCCCCCAGACTTCTTCCATGAAGCTGCGTCTTTGAGAATGGCTTGATTTACAGAAGCCGGGGGAAAAGCCTCGGCCTCCCGTGGCAGACTTGTCTGAGCAGTTCATTTTTCACACTGCAAAAAGCGTGCACTGCATTTGCAACCTGAGTTTCTCTAGCTTTGGGTGGCAAACGGTGCTGGCACCCTCCTCCCCGTGAGAGCAGCGGTGCTCCAGGGACTGCCCAGGTGCGGAGGCGCCCACGCGCTGCACCAGGTCTCTCCCGCGTGCCCGCCAGGAATACAGGCGGGTTTCCGCAGCCGTCCCCCATGCGGGGAGACCTTCCCCTGGGAATGGCCGTGACCAGAGAGATGCGGCTCCCTTTCCACATCACGGACAGCACCCCGCTGCCCCCTGCCCTCAGGTGCCCCTGCCCCTCCAAAAACACCTGCCAGACTCCTCAAACTGCTGCGAAAAATATGAGCCATTTTTCAGAGGGCATCTCACCGGACAAGGAGACACCAAAGCACACCCATCAGGGTGATGGCTCTACTAATTTTACATGCTTTTTATACTAAAAAGAGATACCTTTGACAATGCGATGTGTACTGGTTAGTGAAGGTACCCAAGTCTGCGATTTATGCATGGTTGCACTGTACTGCGACTTGCTGTTCAGCTCACTAGAGCTTGACTCGACTTGCGGACTGGTGCTCTTGCAGCCAGCCCAGTATCAGAAGTGTTAAACCCAAAGGCAGTGTTTGCGGCCGTCTCACATTTTGCCAGAGGATTTGTTTGTGACCAGGGGGATGAGAGCAGCCTCGCCTTATGTCAGTGAGCAGCGCCTGATCGCTCAAGTTTATCTAAAACATGTGTGAAACGCTTCTTCTAAAGCCTGCTACTTTGTGAAAAGTGAAACGTCCTGTCAGTTGGGGCAAAAAACATCCAAAAAAAAAAAAATACCAAGCAAACAACATACCGCGGAGATCCCTGTTGAAATCGTGGAGACGCCTAATTTCTCCTTCGAGTTTGTTTCTCATAGCTTTGTCCAGAGACTCCCTCTTAGTAGTGGTCTTCACCAGGCCCTCATAAGCTTCCGAAATCCTCTGAATCTCTATTTCAAACTGAAAGGAGAGAGACCTCCCGTTAAAGCCGGGCAGGAACGCGTGCCGTGCCGCCGCTGGCCGCGAGGCGCTAAGGAAACGCGCACAGTTGCGTGGGCTCTATTCGCTCCTAGAAGGGGTTGTAGGAGACAAGATTTCTTATTCTGCCACTAGGGAGGGCTCCCCGATCCAAAGCACAGCTCTAGCGCTACATGCCACTGTAAACGTTTTAGGCTAGACTCTCACCTCCTTTCAGTTGCAAACTATCGCGGTCCACTCATTTTTTATTTTTTCTCCCCTTGACTGAAGACTGCTATATAAAAGAAGACTCTCTATTATAGACAGCACCTGTTGTTTTGGGTTTTCGGTATTCCTGAATTTATCTCCTTGAAATCCAGCAAATTGCTCGCTGCCCCGTTTGCTGGGCAGGGTAGTACAGAAACAGCCTTGAGCTTGTGAACTTGCATCGGAAACCGCAACCCCAAAGACTGACAGGAGCAGAGCCACAGGGAGAGCTTTGTGGTTCAGGTTCATCAGCTCCAACTTCTTTACCAAGCTAATCTCACATGAAACGTTGCCGCTTGCTTGAACTCGATGCTGCCATAGCCATCAGCACTGATGGGGGAATCTGCTCCTATATGCCTGGCCCTTGTGTTTGTGGAGAAAAGCTTGATAATGCATAAGCAAGAGGAATAACTGAAAAGCAAGAGATATATCCAACTCCCCACCACAGCCTTTTTAATGCTTGTGCTTTTTCAACCCCTTGCATCAGAGATGGGACAAACTCACGATCTGCAAAGCCAGGGTGCAAAGCCACCCCTGCTGACTGTAGAAGGCAAGCCCCTCACCAAGGCCGATTAAGCTTTCGGTTTAATTTGCCAGCTGCAGTGCTTACAAAATAAGAGCACATATATTGTCAGTCACATATATTGTTTCCAAAGGCATCTGCAACCAGCTTAAACCAGCCAGCATCTGCGTTTCTCCGTAACGCCGGGTGCCAACCTGGCTGGAGCTAAGGCCTGTGAGTTCACAGCTTCACCCAGCCACATGGTGGGGCAAAGCCAGGCAGAGTCATGACGTGTTAGAGGCTGGGAAAATTGAGTTATCCTCTTTGATTTTTGCTTTCAGTTTGCTCAAACACAAAGGCTTAAACAAATGACAAGATTCAAGGCCCAAAGAAACCAGTGACAGCAACAGCTTCTAATTAGCCCCTAAACTTGCCAAGTATCACATCCTATATCTCAAACACATGGTGATTTACCAGTGAACATGTATTTCACACACATACATGCTGCTTCCCTATATGCTTGGTATTAAAAGGTACCACAGACACATCAGTTGCCAACTAGCAATTCTCCAGGGCTCAGAGAAAAGCTGACCCCATGGCACTGGCCTGTAGTCTATGTCCTAAAACTCTTTCTTACGTGAAAAACAAATGATTATTTTGACTTTTCACTTTTTTTTTTTTTTTTAAAGTAGGAGCTCCCTGAAGCGCTGGTACATTTTAGCTAATTACATTTCAGAAAAGTAGGTCCTCCGTCCCCACTCAGCTGACACACAACAAGATACCAGGTATGCTCCGACTATGGGGACAGCACATTCACAGGGAGGATGAATACATCCTAACGGCATTGCTCTAAGAGTTGTGCAATGCATGCAAAGATTTTTTTTTTTTTTGGCATCCTTTCTTGTACTCAGAATGATCGGCAATGAATTCATTTCCCACCAACAGCAAAGCAGGCTTAAAAAATAACCTGATCTAGGATACCTGTGTTCAAAATTCAGCCTAAATCTTATGGCTCAAACAGAGTTGACCAGTAATGGTAATGGCACAAACTTGTAGGAAGCCTCATCAAAAAGTCTGCTCTTTTGTGAGAAATTCTTTTTTTGTGTGTGTGAATTGTCTAGAATCAAAACAACCTGTCAACTATTTACTCAAATAACAGCAGGCAACCACGTCTTCCTCTACCACAGTGATCTGGAAAGACAAACATGGAGCGTGAAATTCATCAGACAGTAAGAGATCTCAAGGCAAGAGGCGTCTTTCTAGCGCAGTCTTTGCCACAACACAAAGTACCGTGCTCCCGAACCCCGTCGGCACACAGAAGAGCCAAGCCTCCAGGTTAATTTAAAGGTGTGAGACGGACGTTCTGGCACACCATAGTGGAAGCTGTTCCAAAGTTAAGTATACTCATACTTTTACTATACCTTAATTCCTCTTTGAGTTGAATTAAACTGATTTCAGCTATTTTCTCCTGCTATGTTTTTTTCTCTTTAGATCAATGTGACCTCTACTAGCAAAAGCCATCTATATTGAAGATTGTATTTCTATAGTCTAGAGTCTACAGAATATAGCATGTAGGCTATATTCAAGCTACCTCACACCGCTCCCCTTGAGCATTTAAGCAAACTGAGCTTGTCTAAATCTCTTACTGAAAGAAAGTTTTAGCTGAGCTCTTATCATTTTTAAGGCCACTTCCTGAATCCTGCTCAGCTGCCTCATCTCCATGGAGCCTCGCGCTCAGCCGGGTGCCCGACGCCTGCTGTTTCCTACACCCCCTCCCGTGCAAGCCTCCACCGCCACAGGACTCCTGCTACGGAAAGTTGCTATCGCTGCAAGGCAGATTTGCTGGCACAGCAGGGGTTTCCATAGCCCCTCGGTTCTGTCGAGTGCTGTTGGTTAAAGCAGGGGCAGCCACTTTTCCCAGCATTTCCCAAAACATATCACCATGCAAGTCTCCTCCGGCCCAGATGACAGGGACTTGCTGCAGGAAAAGGGAAAGGCTCCATCAGCACTGAGCAAAACTGAGGAAGGGAGGGCAGAAGAAGATCAACAGAGCAACGATCAAGGATAATGATAAACCGTGCTTGTGTTTCTCTGCGGCTCTGTGATTTTCTTTCCCTTCTACTAAAAAAAAAAATTATCTCTTCTCTCCCTCGTAACTCTTAGCGCCAGCCTACTCAAACAACTCACACAACACGATGCTGGAGGGCACCAGTCTAGCATGGCAGTTAAACTTCAGTAAGGTAACACTGTCAAAAACAAAACAAAAAAAAAAGAGAGAGAAAGCAAGGCACAGAAAAGCAAAAAAAGAAAGGAGCACACAACTCCCCCAGATCTTTTTAGGTAAGAAAATCAGACAACAGCACAGGGATTAATCACTACCTTGTACCTCTCTGCAAAATGTCTATTCAGACATGACTTCAAATTTGACAGCCTTACGGTTGATCCCTTCATACTAATGCCCAGGGAGCTCTCTTATGTCATGCTGATTCTCTTTCTCTAATTTCTTCTCCTATTCTGTTATGAATAAAACGAGAGGGAGGATTGCCCTACCTATAGTAAACTTTGGTTAAACAGAGACAAAAAAAAAAGTACATCTTGTGAATCTTTCACTTCCTACAATAGGGAAGAGCTTGCACATCCACAGTACATAATTTAATTCACTGTTATGTTTTTAGAGGGGATGTACAGCTATAACTGTGGAAACACAGGAGCCTGCTACAGGCATTCAAACACAGAAAAAAATGTCAAAGAAAGGATAATGTGTGCTAAGGTTTTGGTTCAGGAAATTTTCCTGAAGAAAGAATGCGCTCGAGCATGTGTTTCCCTTTAAGAATCTGCTTACATTCCACTGAAGTCAATGGGATTTGAGTCCATGTTCTGTTGACTTAAGTGAGACTTCAGTCCACACTCAAATACCTTTCTGCGGGTGTCTGATGCAACAGACTCCTAGGGCATCCAAGATAAAGAGAATGCCGTTTCTAAGACAGCAAAAGAAAATCTGAGTATTTTTAGGGCTTCATACTCAAATATCTTTTACCGAACAATGCAGTTTTGTAAAATTAGTATCTGGAGTATTTATTTTTGTCCAGAAAGGCCACAGAGAAGTCAGCATTAAAATCTTCACAGATATCTTCACAAGTAGCTAACACTGCTGCAAAAATTTCTCAACTAAGTTTAGGAAATTCTGTGACTATAGCAGTAAAGTCATCTGCTTGCAGAGGAGGACGCCGCAAAGAAGATAACAGCTACAAAACAAGAGGGTTTTTTTCTAACCCATCTGAACTTTCTGGTCACAGATTTTCCCAAAGCTGAGGTCTGGGGACATTGCCTTTCAGAGCTCCTCTCTTCCCACAAACACCCTGATCCAACGCAAACACAGGACATTTTAACTCCTGTTTAGAGTCCTAATTTTGCAGGGAAAAGACCTGCAGCCTAAGCCCATTTGCGTATAAGTTGTGGGAAGTCATACATGAAATAGTATTGTAGGAGCCTAAATAATTTGTTTGGTGTAAGCTCTGTGAATCAAAAGATAGCAGGTTTGGGGAGCATCTCTGCTCTGACTTCAGTGCGCTTTGATTTTTAAGAAACGTTATTTTGTTTGATTTCATTTTTCACTCTTGTCTTCCCTCGTCACTCCAGGCAGTGAGCGAGGCATCGCTCTTCTCCACTGGACGTGCAAAGTGTGCATATAGAAAAGAGGGTGCAGGATCCCTCTGCAAAGGGCTTCTGGGCAAAATCTTTATCAAATAGTTCTTTCAGATAAGCTGGCAGTACTCTTTGAACCAACATGTTTAGACATGAGTGTCTACGGTCAACTCTTAGAAACCCATCCAGCGGTCACTGAGAGCCTCTGTGACAATCACATTAACAAACTTCGAAACAAGAGTCAACCCCACCGCAGGCCGTTGCACTTTCCTAAAGAGGGTGGAGCATAATTTTAGCATACTGTGTTGAACAAGACTGCTCAGGACACATTTGGCTCAAATGCTCCTTGCATGCAGCGCTGCTTCTGTGCCAAGCCTAAGTGGTGCAGGACGCAGCAGCAGACCCTGCCCCATAGAGGCTACTCCTGCAAGGCTGATGCTGAAGGATGGAAGGGCAAAGTCTCCAGTAGAAGCACACCTGACAGGCTGCCCTGCCGTTGCATCCCCAACGGCAGAGGAGGGCACAGGCCTCATGCCATGGGACTAGACATCTGGGACCACCCTGGAGGGGCAGCAGCTACAGATTGCCACCACCATGCCACCGGTGCAGTGACATGAGGCAACCTGGCCATGCGGACCAGCTTGTAGATGTCAACTGAAGCAGTGCCAAGACAGTTGCTCTGCCCGTGGTTGCCCTTCACGTACCTTCTGCAGTTTATCCGCCTTCTCATAGTAGCCCTCCAGCTCCTGCCGTAGCACGTGGTTCTCCTCAGAGAGCATCTCCACCATCTGCTGTGCTCGCTCCACGATGGCGAAGGCGTCTGGCGTCAGCTGCTGGCCCGGTGGCGTGCCCGGCGCGGGCTGGGCAGCGACGGGAGCCGGAAGTGGGGGCAACGCGCCTGAGAGCAGGGGGACGGGGGCAGGGG